TTGATGAAATTTATATCTAAATTTATATCTAAAACATAAAGAACTTTCAGAGTTTAACAAACAAAAAAGCAAACCATCTAATTAGAAAATGGGCAAAAAGACATGAAAAAACATTTCAGCAGAGGTTATATGGATGGTAAATATGTAATGAAAAGATTTTCTACATTACAAATCATTAGGGAAATAAATGCAAATTAAGATCACAATGAAATATCACTACATATTAGAACAGCTAAAATAAAAATTAAGATCAATATTAAATGCTGGTGAGGATGCAGAGAAACTGGATCTTTCATACATTAATAGTAAGAATATTAGCTGGAAAAGTTTGTTAGTTTCTTTTAAAACTAAACATACTTTTACCATTTGACCCAGCAACTGCAACTCTTAAGCATTTATCTCAGACATATCAAATCATGTCCACACTATGGACTGTTCACAGGAGGTGTTAACAGCCCAAAATTGGAAACAACCAAAATGCCCAACAGGTACCTGATCAAACAAACTGGCACATCCATACTATGGGATACTACTTAAAAGGAAAAGGAACAAACTATTGATATATGCAACAACTTGGATGGAACTCAAAAGCATTATGCTGAGTGACAAATCCAATCTCAAAAAGTCACACACTATACGATTCCATTTATGTAACATTACAGAAAATAACAAAATTATAAAGGTGGAGAACAGATTAGTAGTTTCTAGGGGTCATGAACAGGGTTGGGTTCTAGGGGGTGAGGTCACTGTGATTATAGACAGCACAAGAGAGATCCTTGTGATGGAGTAGTTAGTTTCATATCCTGACAGCAGTAGTGGTTACACGAATATACATTTGTGATAAAATGATACAGAAATATGTACACGGTTACATCAATTTCTTGGTTCTGATACTGTACTGTAATTATATACGATGCAACCAATGAGGGAACCTGAGTGAAGTACACACAAGGACCTTGCTGTACTGCCTTTTCAACTCCTAAGAATCTACACTTACTTAAAAAAAAAGTATTTTAAAATTTAATCAGCCGGGGGCATAGCTCGGCAGCACAGTGCCTTCCTGGCAAGCACAAGGTCCTGAGTTCAATTCCCAGTACCAAAAAAATAAAATAAAATTTAATCAACATTAAACAATACAAAAGTTGGAAAAACATGGGACAAATTTCTAAATATGTTGAAAAAGGTGAGGTTGTACTGCTATATGCAAACCAAAGAGGAACAAGGATGATCATGGTGCTACCCAAAAAGACAGCTGAAAAACTTGTACAACTCCCACAACAGTTTGGTCAAATATTACTGATTACCTTGTATATGCAAGATATGGTGTTATAAGAAATAAGGGAACTAAAAGCAAGAAAGGTCAAGTACTTACCTCTGAATTAATTTAATCTCTAAGAAGACAGGGCAGAATAATTATTAAAGGGTTCAGGGCCTATGCAAAAGCAGTCCCCTTTGGTTGGAATGTTCTGACATTTTTTTGTCTAGTTAGTTCTTCCACATCTTGAACTCTCAGCTCAGTGTCACTTCTTCAGGGAAACTCTCTAGCTCTTCTCATTTTAGATTAGTTTTCTCTATTATGTGTTTGAACAACATTCTGTATTTTTTCAGTCATAATATTAATCAATCACAAACAATCATGTGATCATTTGATACTTATTTTCCCCACTAGGGTGAAATCTCCAAAAGGACATAGACAAGCCTGCATTGCTCAGCACTGTATTCCCAAACCAAATGACAGCTCAAAATATATTACATAAATAAATCCATGTAAAGTTATAATTCATATGTATGAAGAAGCAGACAGTAAGTAACTAGAGTTTGAAAGAACTCAACTAAGAATTTAGACCTGAGAGAAGCCAGTTTATACAGGATAGAGGATTCATGTAGAGGATAAAAAAATCTTAAATCCAAAGCTAAATACAAACTTCAGCCCTTCAACAATAGGAATGCACTGAAGAATTGAAAGACAGGAATGGCTGTTCAACTGTTCTTTAGAAAAATTGATGTGGGAATAGAGTTGAAATGAGAAAGACACTAGAGGCAATGAAAATAATTAAGGCCAGATATGGTGGCACACACCTATAATTGCACATACAGTACTCAAGAGGCTAAGGCAGGAGAATCACTTGAGCAACACAGTGAAAGTTCATCTCTAAATAAATAAATAATTTAAAAGACGCTATGGTAATGCAGGCACAAAAACAGTAAAGTCCAGAATAAGTGTGGCCACTGGAACAGAAAGATATGAGAAATACTAAGAATAAAGAAGCAACAGAGCTTAACAACTGATTAGATATGGAAGCATTAAAAGTGGAAGAGTCAAAGATGATTCAGGAGGTTTAACAGTACAAGACAGTATCATTAACAGAAATTGGGAAGTCATGACTAAGACCTGTTAGGAGAAGGTAATTTCTGGAAGTGATGGGTGACAGTCACACTATTTAATGTATGAGACTGGATGTAGAAGAAAAATCAAGACAGGCATTGTAGATGTGGGAACTGAACCATTAGCATGATGAAAGTAAATAAGGTTTCAAGGGAGAAGGCGTAATGGGCCTTAGATGGGATCATTTAAAACAGTTTGGGGAGGGGCTGGGGATTTAGCTCAGCGGCACAGCGCCTGCCTGGCAAGTGCAAGGTCGTGAGTTAGATTCCCGGTAGGGGGGGGGGGAATAAAAATAAAAAAAATAAATAAAACAGTTTGATTTCCCCATTGGTCCACTTACATTCATAAAACTCTAGAGTATATGGTACCTCAGTTCACGACCTTAATTTGTTCCATGACTTTGGTCGCAGAATTTGTTCCACTGGTGAAATGAATTCTGCAACCAAAACTGTAGAAAGAATTAAATTCGTGAACCGAGGTACCACTGTAATTCAGACTATGAGTTCCTTGAGAGCATTTCTGATATCTTTGCATTCCCTACAGTACACAAAACAGGGTTTTGTCCGTATCTGGTGCACAGTAAGTCTCTTTTTTAAAGAAATCAACCATTCAAGATAGTTTCTGATTAATATAAAAAGTGGTGCCCTAGGTAATAGCTGGAAAGGTACAAACTTCACTTCAAATTAGTAATATTAGTGAGTTCAGACAGTTTAAATCATTTGCCAAAGCTCTGATTTCCCAAGGCTCAAGACTGAAGAATTCACAAAGCTAGACTTTGGAACTGTGGAAACCTACCAGAAAAAAAAAGCCCCCAATGAGGGTAGGACCAAAACATATTTTAACTAGCAGTAGAAATACTCTTCACGTGGTTTTAATTTTTGGTTTTTGAGACAGGGTCTCATTATGTAGTTCAGGCTGGCCTTGAACTCAGTATGTAGCCTGGGGTGGCCTCAAGCTCACAGTGAGCTTCCTGCCTCAGCCTTCTCAGTGTTGGGAGTAAAAGTATGCACCACCACGCCCGGCTTCAAGTGTTTTTTTTTTTTCCTTAATAAGAAAAAACAAAATTATTTACTAGGGAAGTGAAACAGATGAAAAATTTGAACTGTATGTATACACTAGGCAGGTTGATAATGTACAAGAAGTAAGGAGGTTTCAGGTGAACTGAAGGATAACTGAAGTCTAAGTGACATAATTAAAAGGGAACTGTGAACAATTGAGACACATTCAAAAGTAACAGGCCTGCTGTCACAAAGCATTCATCAGTATTACAGTCAAGGTGGCGTAAGGGGATACTATGTTTCAATATTTAGGCGAATAGTACTTCGCCAGCTGCATTTTAAAAATGCGAAAAAGGACTGCTAAAATGGACCAGGGGGCTGGTCCTTCCTTATTCACGGCCTCCCCAATCATTTTACTATCAACCAAGGCTTTTCAAGGCTGCAGTCGGCTACATGGCTCTAATCTTGAATCAAGCAATGTTCTATGTGTTTTCCGACAGTTGAGCGTGTTTGCGGGAGAAGTCAGGGAAAGAAATCGGTTGCAGTTACAGGACTCCAAGAACCTGACATGACATCTGTAATTCAACAACCCTCTCAGCAAGACTGGCTTCCACATGTCTAAAAGATGGTTAACCGGTCTTTGCCTGTTTATTTCCAACTAACAAATGAACCATTTGGTAAACTGATCATTCCCAGGGCTGGACAGTTCAAATCTGTTGTAAAAATCGCTTCGAAGTTACTTCCCAGTAACTCTCACTGCCGGTCCTGTTCTTGTAAGGGGAACACAACAATACACGAACGACGTCGTGGTATTTTAACTTTAACGACAGCAACAACAACAGACCAGGCATTACTTGTTGGCATAGCAATACGTTCCCTTCTCTCCACAGAGCTGACCCCCCTAACTTGCTTCAGCGTTTTACTCTCTTTAAAGAAAAAGAGGAAAACCAGGCATAGGGTTCATGTCTCCTTTAGACTCAGCCACCGCCTCCTGGGCAGAACGCAGAAAGCGGGTTTAAATAACCACACACACTAGCAAGAGTTGCAGCTGGTCTGAAACCCCATCGCCAAGAAGCAAGCACGCCGGCCGGTGCCCAGGTGCTGGGACGCCAGGGAAGACACGCAGACCTGGCCAGGCGGCGCCGAGGCCACGGGAGCCAGGCAGCCTGCTCCCCGTCTTGCCAAAGCCCGGGGCTGCGTGAAAGCTGCTTCCCCGGCGGGCGGCGGGTCTGGAACCTCTCGGGACGGAGCGCTCGGCCCCGGAGAAGCGTTCCCGCTGAAATCGGCCGCGGAGAGACGCCCGGCCAAGCCCA